GCCCACGTTACCTCTACATGTGTTTTATATTTTAATTGCTTTCTTATAGAAAACACGTATTTGCATCTTTTTTGATTCTTTGTTGATCTCTGTGTTGAACTGTCATAATTAGGTCATTAGTGTTAATTGTTTAGTTGATGTGTTGGACTTAGTGTGCCTCCCCACATTTACTGGGTTTTCATTGGTGTCCTTGCTCATTATCCCCATTTTGTCTTCCTCTTCTGCCTTTTGTGGTCCTAATTGATCATTTAGTATCATTTCATTTTATCCTTTTCCTTAACATATATTATGCTTTTTTTAAAAAATAAATGTGGTTTTGTTTTACATTTGGCTACCCTTGAGTTTGCAATATGCACTTAAAATGAATCCACGCCCATTCTTAAATAATTCTAACTCATGAGGAGTGCAAGGTGGTCATAAACCCTCCTCCTGGTTCTTCATTTCACTTCCCTCTAAGTACAACTAGACATCTATAAATGAAATAAAACGTCACCATTAAAATTTCCACAGCTGTCTGTGATATCAAGTAAGTAGAACAGTAAAGAATTTTGATTTGGTCTTTATTTATTCTTCCATTTTCGCACTCTTCTATTCTGTCGTGCATGTGTGTGTGTGCATGTGTGTATGTGTGTGAATGCATGCATATGAGAGAGAGAGAGAGAGAGAGAGAGAGAGAGAGAGAGAGAGAGAGAGAGAATTTGACCTGCATGAATGTGCATGCGCCATGTGTAGGTCTGGTTCCCACAGAGGCCAGAAGAGGGTTCGGGAACCCCTAGAACTGGAGTTACAGATGGTTGTGAGCCATGTTTGTGGGTGCTAGGAATCGAACCCAGGTCCTCTGCATCTCTGAAAGAGCAGCAAGTGTTTTTAATCACTGGGCCTTCTCTCTAACCCCTTTCTTTCACTGTATAGGTGTGTGTGTGTGTGTGTGTGTGTGTGTGTGTGTGTGTGTGTAGAACTTCTTTGACACGTCTTATAAAGTAACAGTGCTGCCCATGAATGAATTTCTTCAAAAGATTTGAAGCTAGATCTCACATAGCCCATGCTGGCCTTAACCTCACCTTATTGTTGAAGCGCTACGGTCACAGGCACACATCACAACACCAACTTTCTCTTTGATTTTTCTAATTTTATTCATTTTTGAGTTTTTTAGAGAGTCTCCCTTTATAGCTTGACTGTCCTGACATTCATTATGTAGCCCAGGTTGGCCTTCAGCTCACTGTGTAGTCAAGAATGAGCTTATCCTCTAAGCCCTGTGATCACAGGCATGCATCTCCACACCAGCTATCTCTCTAATTTTTTATTTTTATTTCATGTATTTTATTTTTTTAATTTAATTTATTTATTTTATTTTTGAATTTCTGAGACAAAATCTTACTGTGTGGTTCTAGCTGTCCTGGAACTCACCATGTAGACCAGGCTTGACTTAAACTCACAGAGTTCTGCCTACCTCTACTGAGAACAGGAGAATTCTAGGAAGAAGGAAGCCCATTCCTACCAGTCCTGCCCAGACCCCCGAAGAAGCAGAATGTGACATACCCTGCTAAAAAAGCTACTGAGCCATGTGGCTAACATAGATAAGAATAATGGGTTAATATGAGGTACAAGAGCTAATAAGATAAGAAGCCTGGGCTAAGGGGCTGATCAGTTTATAACCTAATGTAGACTCTCTGAGTGATTTTCTTTGGGGGCTTACTGGCTGTGGAAACCCCAACAAGCAAGCCCTCATGTTACATACCTCTACCTCCTGAGCTCGTGGGATTAAAAGTGAGCACCACCATGCCTAGCTTTCGCTTTTACTTTTGGAGTGGCTCACCACATAGAGAATTGTACCCCAGACTGTTTCAACCAACACCTTCAACATTTTATTGCCCAACTCTTTTCTTGATTTCATGATTTCTGAGGAGACATAGGTATAATTCTAGTCTTTTCTCCTCTGTAAATAGAACGTTGCTTTCCCTCTGCCGCATTTTGAAGAATTAAAGAGTAATAATTTCATTGATTCTAAACTCTAAACGCTATGCCCAGGTGTCGTTTTTCTGCTTATCCTGGTTTAGCCACTTCCTGTTTTCTAAGCTTTCCAGACCTGTAGTTTTGTGTGTGATGCTAATTTGGGGGAATTCCTCGGTCGTAACTGCTCAGCTACACCCTCCAATCCTTTCATGAGTCTCCCTGTGTTCTTGGCGCATGTGCACCCCAGCCTTTGAAGTGTCCCATCTGCGCTTGGATGTTCTGCTCTGGGTTTCTCTGGTGTACTCCCCTTCCCTCATTCGCTCTTCAGCTTGGGATCTTTCAACTGAGATACCCTTCAGCACGGAGATTCTCCCTTCTATGTTCAGTCTACTAATGAACCCATCAAAGGCATTCTTAGCATGTTACAATGTTTTTGATTTCTAGTACTTATTTGGTTCTTAGGAGTCTCACCTCTGCCTAAATTGCCCATTGATTTCCACAGAGTCTACTTTGTCTATTATGTTCCTTAGCCTATTGTTAAATGGCTTATTTATGTAACTATTGTCTTTTCTCTTGAGACTGAGTCTTACTCTGTAGTCCAGGCTGGCCTTGAAGGCACTATGTAGCCCAAGCTAGCCCAGCTCACTGTGCTTTCCCTGCCTCAGCCGGCCAAGTTCTGGCCGTAAAGCTAGGGGCCATCACAAGCAGTTTATTTGTGTTTGTTTTAAATTCTCAGTCTGATAACTTTATTGTTCATGCTTATTTGAAGCTGATTCTCACTCATGCTTGCTTTGCTTGGTCGTAATGTGCTTTTGCCGTTTCATATTTCTTAGAATTTTTTAATTGATTTTATAGAGCTCTACATTTTTCTCTGCTTCCCTTCCATCCTCTCCCCTCCCCTTCAACCCTCTCCCAAGGTCCCCATCCTCCCAATTTACTCAGGCAATCTTGTCTTTTTCTACTTTCCATGTAGATTATATCTATGTATGTCTCTCTTAGTGTCCTCATTGTTGTCTAGGTTCTCTGGGATTGTGATTTGTGGGCTGATTTTCTTTGCTTTATGTTTAAAAACCACTTATGAGTAAGTACATATGATAATTGTCTTTCTGGGTCTGGGTTACATGACTCAATATAATGTTTTCTAGCTCCATCCATTTGCCTGCAAATTTCAAGATGTCTTTATTTTTTCTGCTGTGTAGTACTCCATTGTGTAAATGTACCACATTTTCCTTATCCATTCTTCAGTCGAGGGGCATTTAGGCTGTTTTCAGGTTCTGGCTATGGCAAACAATGCTGCTATGAACATAGTTGAGCACATGTCCTTGTGGCATGGTTGAGCATCCTTTGGATATATATACTCCAAAGTCTTATTGCTGGGTCTTGGAGAAGGTTGTTTCCTAATTTTCTGAGAAATCGCCATACAGATATCCAAAGGGGTTGTACCAGCTTGCATTCCCTCCAGCAATGCAGAAGTATTCCCTTTTCCCCACAACCTCTCCAGCATAAGTTGTCTTCAGTGTTTTTGACCTTGGCCATTCTTACAGGTGTAAGATGGAATCTCAGAGTTGTTTTGATTTACATTTCTCTGATGACTGAGGATGTTGATCATTTCCTTAAGTGTCTTTCAGCCATTTTAGATTCTTCTGTTGAGAATTCTCCATTTAGTTTCGTAACCCATTTTTTAATTGGGTTATTTAGAATTTTGATGTCTAATTTCTGGAGTTCTTTATATATTTTGGAGATCAGACCTCTGTCTGATACGGGGTTGGTAAAGATCTTTTCCCATTCTGTAGGCTGTTGTTTTGTCCTCTTGAACAGAGTTGTTTTCTTTTTTTTTTTTCTTTTTCTTTTTTTTTTTTTTTTGGTTTTTCGAGACTGGGTTTCTCTGTGGTTTTGGAGCCTGTCCTGGAACTAGCTCTTGTGGACCAGGCTGGTCTCGAACTCACAGAGATCCACCTGCCTCTGCCTCCCAAGTGCTGGGATTAAAGGCATGTGCCACCACCGCCCAGCTCTTGGAAGTTTTTTTAATCACTGTATGGGTAAAAGCAACTACTGTCAGTCACTGGTCATGAGGTAGTGTGGTGTGCAGATGGGAAGGGTTCTACAGTTCTGTGATGTGACCCAGTCTTGTGACAGAGGACTTCACAGTGAACACATCACAGAGTTTACTTCTGAGCTCTCCTCACCCTTGGACAGAACAAGATGGCTCGCGTTTCCCTTTTCCAGCCTAATCAGGCTGTAGAAAACCCCAGCTGGCCGAGCTCTCACCAGACATTCCTCCCAAGGCAGGCCTTGCTAAGAAGAGTGCGGCACTTGGGATAATTTTTGAATATTCTTTCCCTTGCCCTGCAGAAGCAGAGGGGCTTTTTCTCTGGCCTGTGAGGTGCTGACCTAAGTTTTCACTCTCTGATTTGTTCACATAGAACTCCTGGCAGTTTACCAGTTATAGCTCAGGTTTCCCTGTCCTGGTTCCGGCAGAGATAAGAGCTTGGGCATTCTCCTCACTTTCTCTAACTTGGGGTGCTGGTTTGCCTGTGACTCCACATCTCTAAGCTTGTTGCTTAGGGTAGAATGGCAATGCCAACACTTCTATGCACTAGACTGTATCTTCGTTTTGTTTGGTTTGGTTTGCTTTAGATAAGATGAGTAAAGACAGGACAAATGGGAAATCTCAAGCTTTGAAGGAGTTCTTCTGAAACCCAAGATGTCTGGATTTGAGCAGAATTTATTGCATTGATTGGCCTATTACACAGGTCCTATCTCAATTTTCAGAGACTAGTTTGATTTCCACTTGACCCAGACACTTTGGATCTGAACATGGAGGGTACATTATGAATGAGCGAGCCTGATGTGAGCAGCCATGGACAATCTAATTACATCTTAAATGGAAGCTGGCCTAAAGGGCTCAGGTTGCCTGTCTTTTACCATATTCCCAAACCATCCGTTTTCCTGAACATGGCATTCAATCCCTGGAACACTTGCTCCTGCACCTCTACACGGGTACTCCAGCTTGGCCGGACTCCTCCCGGGGCCAGGTAAACAGCCAAGACTCAGGAACCACACACAATCATTCTTAGGCTCCAAAGTCTCTTTTGTTTTACTCCCTACCTTCTCTAATCACATTACTGAGAAATTTACAGAGTTACTGTTGGCAATTACCAACTGTGAGGAGAGGCTCAGCCTATTTAGAAACAGAATTCGACTAACTAAAGGCCTCCAGGTAGATGTGGGCAGCCCTGTGAAAGTACAGCTGCGATCTGGGGAAGAGAAATTTCCAGGAGTTGTGCGCTTCAGAGGACCGTTATTAGCGGACAGGACAGTGTCGGGGATTTTCTTTGGAGTAGAATTGCTGGTAAGTTTGCTAGGACATTTGAGAGAGAGAAGGAGAGAGAGAGAGCGCGTATGAGAAAGCGAGTGTGCGCGTGAGCGAGAGACCACGAGCACATATTTTCCCCTTTATAAGATTTGTGTTTTATGTTTGTTTGTTTTTAGTATAGTTCTCAGGATGGACCTCAGGACCCTCTGCCTCTGAGCTATAGTCCAGCCCCCAAATTTATTTAATGATAAATTGAGAGGATATAAAGACAATTCTTGAAAACTTTAAAAAGTTATCTCTTACGGTAGAAACTTACAAGTCTTTATTCTGGACTTCATATCTAAGAAGATTTTAAGTTTCCTATATTAAAAGTTAACACTGCCAATTGTAATTATAAACACTTAAAAAATTGTGAACTACACCTTCCTAGATATGGACGGAGGGGGGAGGACCTAGGACTTACCACAGGGCAGGGAACCTGGACTGCTCTGTGGACTGGAGAGGGAGGGGGAGAGGAGTGGGGGGAGGGGTAGAAGGGTGGGAGAAGGGGGGGAGGAGGGGGAGGGAAATGGGAGGCTGGGAGGAGGTGGAAACTTGTTTTTTGTTTATGTTTTTTTTCTTCTTTTCTTAATAAAAAAAATTATTAAAAAAAAAAAGAAATACATAAAATCACAAAAAAAAAAATTGTGAACTATCTTGTGATAGTACCCACAAGATTCCCAGTTCTTAGTGTATGCTACTAAGTATAACTGTTTAGAGGTAAAATTTTTGAAGTGTGTTGCAGCAATTTCAGTTTGCTCATGCTTATTCCCGGAATGTATAAACTGCCTTGGAACTTATGTGCCGTGGCAACATATCTAAGAATTCTATATTCCAAACTGACTATTGGTTCACATTTGGACACTCTCAGGAGTAGAGAGAGGTCACGCTTTACTTGCTTCTTGATTTGGCTTTTCGAGCAGTGAAATAATTAGGCTGTGACTGCCAGCTATGGTATGTACTAGCAGGATTGCCAGCTACTTAACCTACATCAAGTTCTCCTAACCTGTTCCTCATCTGTGAAGTGCTTAGAGCACACATGACTTATAGTAGTTGTACGGTGGATGGCTGTAGATGGTTAGAGTTTGTTCTCAGTAAATGGAGCTGATGCTGCTGTTTGGTTAAAGTTGAATGCCTGTTCATGACAAAAGTTGTGGTAGTACTATGTTGTAAATTTAATCCTCACTCTTTCTCAAAAGAATTATGATCTGAAATTATGAGTTAGTTTCATGATCAGATACAGCTTCTTTATTCTTTAAATACCCTAAACCCAACAGCAGCTCTAGTCATATTTCATATTATGGATATTATTTAGAGTTTTTCCAAAGTAATTTCCTGAAATCCCTTTAATGGATAATCTTTTTATATCTCTTTTTAAAAAAAACTTTGAAAACTAGGAAGAACATCGTGGCCAAGGTTTCACTGATGGGGTATATCAAGAGAAACAGCTTTTTCAGTGTGATGAAGATTGTGGCGTGTTTGTGGCATTGGACAAGCTGGAGCCCATAGACGATGATGACAATGGATTGGAAAGTGATTTTGCAGCCCTAGGGGATACCATGCAGGCTGAACCTCCCCCTTTGGAAAAAAACTCCAGAGTATCTTTGAAGGTCGGAGAAAGTGTTGAATCTGGAAAAGTAATATTCTGTGATGTTTTGCCAGAAATAGAGAGTCTAGGATATTTTGTTGGTGTGGACATGGTAAGGATTTTTTGAGTTTTATTATTGTGAATATATATATTAATTTTATTATTAATTTAGGAATAAATTGAACACTTTGTATTCCTCAAATTTACAGTATTTTAAAGAAGATATTCCAGTTTGTCTTTCGTACAGAAACATTACAGTAGGAATGTGAGCAGAAACAATACATTTCCCAAATTTTTTCGTGTTTTAAGAAACTGGGATAATAATCTCAGTCTTTTAATTATCCTTATTTTAACTGACCAGTAGACAAAAACAAAAACCAAACCAAAACAATAAAACAAACTGACATTTCTCTGACTAAGTCCAAATATATTGTATGATACTGTGTTTTCCTTTAATTTAAAAATACTTTTGATACTTTTTGTATATTTGCTAACATTTAATTAATTTTCTCATAATAATGAATGTAGAAAGTTATTAATAGAAAATACTCAGGAAAAGAATCATACTGCTTTTTGAGTTGACAGAGTATTCCCACAGGATTTTCACTGTCTAAAAACTGTTTTCTTATTGCGGCAAACTGTGTATAAGAAAGGCTCCAGTGTAACCATGGTTACACTAACAGTTCAAATCATTTGGCATATTCTCATCATGGCCTCTCCACTGTCTGTCTACAGAACTTTTTCATCATCCTGTGCTGTGCTCTGTTTCTATTAAATAAATTCTGCCCAGTTTGCCCATGCCTGGTAACTACAGACTGGGTGTTTGCCTGCTGTAGGTACCTCAGAAGTGAGGTCATATGGTATAATATGACTCCTTTTGTTTGTGTCACTCATTTTATTACTGAATAACCATACTCGCTAACAATGGATGCATTCCAGTGCACATAGTGAGTTAACGTGGCCCTAAGAGAATGAGGAGAAAGAAGTTGAGAACATTTTTATCTTAGACTGAAAGTATAGGCAAAAGTTCATTATGGATAAAGGAGATTCCTTCATAATTGTTCTTACCAGGGTGTGTTGGGAGAGGATTATGAGCAGCAGACTCACACAGTGAATATTTTTAATAATCATTTTTATTTATTCATAAATGCTCTACAGAGATGGTTGGGTATGAATGTTCCAATGTGTTTCTGTTGCCTTGTACTTAGAAATTGTGTAAGATGGCTCATTAGTTAGGTACAAAATAAGAATTTGCCAGACTCTCGCTATGTGAAATTAGAGCCAGAGTAAGACCCGTGGGTCTCTCAGAATCGTTAATAATTAAGAACAAGAATTCTCTAAATGAGAGTTTAGTGTTTCAGAGGAGTTGTAGACTGGGTAGAGAGAATGTTGGAGAAAGAAGGCCATTAGTTTTTGGACTTAGTCTCCCCTTGCTATAGGTTTCTTGGGCCAGGCTTTAGATGTTACAGGAACTGTTTGGGTCCTCTCCCTTCTTAATGGTGACCTAGGAGGTCATCTTATTTAGCCCAGGCAGGCTGTCTTGAGACTTGCCTGCCAACTCCACACAAGTTCTGTCCATTGTTTGATTTATGCGAGCATCAGCTCCAAACAGTCCCGTTAGACTTCTTGATAAGAAAGTTGGTCGATCCCAACTTTACTCATGGCTGTCTGCTTCCAGGGACACGCTAACATTCCTCACTGGTTCTCAGGGCAGTTGTTTCATGACCATCTGCTTGTGCCTCACGAATAACTCCTGTGCTGGTGACACAGTAGAGAATAACTTAGAAAATCAAGACTTTCCCCATTTTTTGAGGAAAGTCTTGTATACCCACAGATAACAAGAGAATTCTGAAGTAACTGCTCTTCTGTTTATAAAAAGACACACAGTAATACAGTGAGCAAAATGCCCAGGGGATGCAGATGTGTGATTAACTTTAAGGGTAGGTTTCTGGGTAAAATAATGCAATCCTAGTAAGTTTTCTTTTGCAGACAATGTCTCTTTAAACCTCAGCTGGTGTTATTACTGCAGATTAAAGTATGAAAAATGCTTTTGATTCATTATTTTGTGTGTTTGCTGTAAGTTGATTGTTATTATTTTTATTGTAAAATGTTGTTACTTTAGCAGATATTTCTAATACAGCCTTTCTTTTGGGCAAAATAGTTAACATTTTTCTATGAAAGATATCTTAGGTAATACTTTTGAAAGAAATGTTGGCGTTCACATTTATATTTATTGACAAAGGTATATAAAGGTTTACTTTTTTGGCATTTCAAGGATAACCCTATTGGCAACTGGGATGGAATGTTTGATGGAGTACAACTTTGTAGCTTTGCAAGTGTTGAAAGTACAATTCTTCTGCACGTCAATGATATCATTCCAGGTATGTCTCCTTTATGTATTCAGAAGATAGTTTCGAACATGTATTTTGTTATGAGAATGCAAATATATACTAAAGATGGATCTTTTGAAGTTGGCTTTATATTGTAGAATTGTCATTATATAGACTAACCTTTCTTTTCTCCCGAACCAAGGCAATAAAGGTTATTTCTAAAAGTATATAAGTATAGTGAAGTTTATACATTATCTCTTACATTGTCTTCTCCTAGACATTCTAATAGAGAAAGAAATCCTGTCTTGTAATTGGAAGGTTCAAAAATACAAAAAAAATAAATGCTGTCTCTTGGAGTAAGAGATGAAGCTAGAAGCTTTTAAAAAAATTGTTTATGTCATCTAAACTCCACAGAGGATTCAGGATTCTTATTAAATGATGGCTGAAATTCCTTTTTTGTTGTTTTTAATTATTTTTTCATTTATTTTACATCCTGATCTCAGTTTCCCCTCCCTCCTCTCCTCTTGTTCCTTCCCGCCCCTGGCCCTGCTTGCCTCCCCTTTGTTTCTGTTCAGAGAAGGGCAGGCCTCCCGTGGGTGTTATGTATGGCATATCAAGTTGAGGTAGGACTAAGCTTTTCCCCTTCTATTAAGACTGGGCAAGGCAACCCAATATGATGAATAGGTTCCCAAAACTTAGCTTAAGAGTTAAGGATCCCAGTGTTAGGAGTCCCACAAGTAGATCAAGCTACACAACTGTCACATATATGAAGAGGGCTTAGGTCAGTCCATGCAGGATCCTTCACTATTGGTCCAGAGTCTTTGAGCTCCTATGAGCCCAGATTAGTTGTTTCCGTGGGTTCCTTCCTTTCTTCAACAGGATACTTGGAGTTTGGCCCAGTGCTTTGGTATGGTTCTCTGCATCTGTTTCCATCAGTTACTGGATGAAGACGCTCTAATGACAATTAAGGTAGTCATCAATCTGAATATAAGAAATGTCCAGTTCAGGGACCCTCTCTACTATGGCTAGGAGTCCTCGCTGGGACCATCCTTGTGAATTCCTTGAATTTCCCTGACATGAGGTTTCTTCCTGACCCCGAAGTGCACCCTCATTGGGACAACTCTTTCATCATTCTCCCCCTCCAAGTTCTTTTTGTTTTAAGATGCTATTATGGTATATCATGCTTCATAACTGTAGTCAGAAACTATGACATAGTTTTATTATATATGTTATTCTTAGTATTTTACTACATATATTGTTTATTACAAAATAATAATTAGGGCCAACAAGATGGCTCAGTGGGTAAAGGCACTTGCACGCGCGCGCACACACTGCTGGGTATGTAACACAGAGTGTTTTACATTGGTATAATTGGTACAGTGGTAACCAAACACTTTACCATTGAGCTACAGCACAGCCCCTGAACTTAAAAAACAAATGAAACTAAAAACACCACCCAAAAATGAAAAACAAAAAACACCCCCCCCCAAAAAAAACCTCAAGAACCTTTTGTTTTGCCTCAAATAAGTATTTTCTTTGGCTGCTATGAGGTGATTGACAATGGTAGTAACACCAACCAGTGCTGTTAGAATTCCCAGTGATAGGCTAGTGCATTGAAGTCAATAGAGGCATTCAGAAATAGGGATGTCCACAAGCCATAACCAGGGATGTGCCAGGCCTAGAATTAGATGGTTTATGCTATCTCTATGTCCTGAACAGATTTATAAGATAGGTCTCTCTCTCTCTCTCTCTCTCTCTCTCTCTATATATATATATATATATATATATATATATATTAAAAATACAAAACAGGGAGGTTGGAGAGATTGCTCAGTAGTTATGACACTGACTGCTTTTCCAGAGGTCCTAAGTCCAATTCTCATGGTAACTTACAGCCATCTATAGTGGGATCTGATGCCCTCTTTTGGCATAAAGTCATACATGCAGATAGAACAGTCATATACATAAAATAAATAAATAAATATTAAGAACATATAAAGCAGAATAAACAACAAAAGCAACAAAAGCAAAACAAAATTAAAATCCTGGGGCTTAAATTATCTATGATGAAAGTGAATGGCAGAACCAAAGTCCAAAACTCATCTGATTATGAACCTGTGTTCTCTTTAGTCCCCAACAAATCCCATATCCTACGAGTACTCTTGTATTGTGAACATCTGCATAATCCTCTATTTCTTAGTGTCACATTCTGGGGAATATTATTTCCATGGAGATGGAAATGTTGTCGTTTCTGGTTCTATAAAAGATGATTTTACCGTAACAAGAATTATAAGTGAGCAACACACTGTATTTTCTCTTCTAGTGTTTTCCCATTATTGGTAAGGTTGACAACAAAATGCTTTTGAATTTATTTCTATAGCTTATTTTAGGCCCTGAATTCTTTATTTTATAAAAACGGAAACTGAAGGCTCCTAACTGCATTCTACCCTTCCTGTCTGCCTGTTGGTGTCAAATCATAAACTGTTCTACAGTTTGAACATGCTTCCCATGCAGCTTTTAGTTTTGTAGCAGGAGGCATGAGGTTCATATGTCAGCTTTACTTCAGTTCTTCTCTGAAAAAGTCTGACACACTTTACTTTTGATTTCTTTTAAGATATATTTGTTATTGAGAATTTTCATACATGCATATATTGTATTTTGATTATATTACCCCCCAACTCCTCCTGGGTCTCCCACTCCTAATTCCCTTTCTTACTTTTTGGAAATAAATTGTTTATATTCATATGTTTTCATAAAAACATATGTGTCCTTATTTTAATTAGTTGTGTTTACTTTTCATCCATGCTTTATAGACAGCACAGTTTGGGATGTTTGTGAATTAAAATGCTTTTTTTTTTAATGTTACAATAGTGCTTATTGTTTAAAATACAGCAGTGTAAAAGCACCATTAATTCAGATAGTAGAAAGCCCTCACGTAGACTTCTCTAGATGTGGATATTTAGGAGGCAAAGCACATAAGCATTCTTGGGGTTGAGACGGTAGCTCCATGGTTAGAGTACTTGAGTGAAGCTGTAAGTTCCAGCCTCAGCACTGAACAAAAGTGATGATTAGCGCTAGCAAGATGGCTCAGTGGGTAAGGGCACTTGCCCTCAAGACTGATTCCTGGAACTCAGGTGGTAGGAGGAGAGAATGACTCCTGCAGATTATCATCTGATCTATGCATGCATGCTATGGCACATGGGTGCATGTGCGGACACACACACACACAGAGTGATAAATTAACTAAAAATTTTTAAAGTAAAGTAATTCCTATGTAGAACTTTCATTTAATAAGTTGAGATATATATTAAATGAACAGAATCTGTGGCCAGTAAGATGGTGATGAAGCCGGAGAATGGTCAAACAAGGGGTAAAGAAGATGGGGGGCTGCCCTGTCACATTCATGTGCTTCCACAGACCTCTGCAGGAGACATTTGAGCAGCACACACAAGAAATTATTTGGGAGCTGAATTAAGAAGGCCTTTTCAAAAAGTTGGAGAGTTATGCTGATTTTATAATGCTAACTTGCTGAATGGCTGGGAAGAAGCTCTTGAAATTCTTTCTTATTTATGAGTTTTTTTCACAAGAGCCAATTCAGGGTAATACTGCTTCTCTATAGTCATATCTCACTGATTTCACAATATCCCACAAATTCCACTTTAGTTAGCAAACAAGTATATTTGGTTTTTTTTAAAGGATTTCTTTTCAGGGAACTGTCCAATGGTGCTTTTGAAACCTTAAAACCTGCGACATTTTTGTGTGAATGTAATTGTCAATTTTTAGATATCTTAATTGCATTGTTTTGGGTATTGCATTTTATAGCTGAATGAAGTATGTTGTGGGATTGGGAAAATCATTGTTAGTATAACCATGCAAGAAGGAAGAAGAGGGGCTGGAGAGATGGCTCAGTGGTTAAGAGCACTGCCTACTCTTCTAAAGGTCCTGATTTCAATTCCCAACAACCACATGGTGGCTCACAACCATCAAAAATGAGATCTGATGCTCTCTTCTGGCCTGCAGGCAAACACACAGACAGAATATTGTATACATAATAAATAAATAAAATATTTAATAAAAGAAGGAAGAAGATTCCTGAGCTGTGAAGCTCAGGGATGCAGAGTTGGTTGTGTGTTTTCAGTCTTCTGTAAATTAAAGATTGATGTGTTCCCAGCTTTCTTTCTTTATATATGTATTTATGTGACTAATATATATTTATATTCCAACTCTAAATTTGTTTGAACTTTAAATTGTCTTAGATTCTGCAGTAGCACATAATAAACAGAAAAAAGAAAAGTAAAACTGTTTTGGAATTGGACTGTAATCTTTTAAGGAAAATTTTTTTAGCAGTACCCACCTTATAAATATCTTAATTATTTTCTATTTCAACACTGGTATAGAATTAAAATAACAAAAAACAAAACAAAACATGAGTTTCATGACTTGGGAGTCCCTTGTCAAGATCTTCAAGATTCCTGCTTGTCCTTGATGTTATTGCTGGTTTAGAGCAGTGGTAAGAAAGGAAGAGAATGCTTTTTTCTCTTTCATAGCTATTGATATTCATAAACCTTGAATAGTAGATAATTGAGAACGATACTGCTTTTATACACATAAATTACACGTATTTGCCAACAAAATTAAGCTTGCAAATAGACTTTTAAAAAGTAAAATTATTTAAATGAAAATTAATTTGGTATATTTGAATAAGCCTTCATCTATATTTTGTATCATTAACATTCTTTTCTTGAGGGGAAAAAGCGTGACAGTGTCTCCTTTAGTTCCTTAGTTTATTTATTTTTTCTTGCCCAATTACATCCATTTGTGGGACAGAATTAACATTTCTAGCACGTAGGAAAGATTGTTTTTGGAGCAGCTGAACAGTTGGTGAGATTTGGGAAGAATTCTCCCCAGTGAAATATTTCTTCCTGTTGGTATCTGGAAACGTTTGCTTCACCCCGCTGTTAAAGTGTCCCTCTTTGCACTGCTGTTTCTGATGGTTCAAAGCATTAAAGCTGCTGAGACAGCACATCCAGGTTTGTAAAGTTGCGATGAAGTATGCCAATTTGTGACACTCCCAAAGCATGCATTTCTTTGAGTATCAAAGTAATGCATTGAGCTGTGTCTGTCGTTGTGAAGCTTAAGAGTATAATGCAACTATCAACAACAACTCAGACTACACAGTATGTGCACATTCACAGAAATTTGAAAAGGAAGTCATTTAGTGGGACCCTTTCCTCCTGAGGCTGATCCCAAACTCATAATTTCTTTTTGTATCCTTCCCGATCAGTTTTTTCTTTGTGTTGCATGTCTTCATGGTTTATAACCTTTAAAAATGGTAACAATTTTGTAGCAATATAATTGATATAATTGATAATATAGCCATAGACCAGTACATCTCAACCTTAAGAAAAGCTTCTTCCTGCAGAAGATGTCAACACAGAGACCTTCAACTGGTTCAGGTGCAAGAATAAGAGACTGTGGAGTCTGCAGCCTTAAGTGGGCACGTACATTTGCATTCCTCCCACCAAGGCTCAGGGACTTTGCAGAAGAGAGAGCAGAAAGTTCTTAAGAGCCAGAGGTAGAGGTCAACTTCAAGAAAACAGAATTTTCTGGATGCAGCAGGGCAGTTGTATATATAATCTTACAGGATTTGTGATGATGTGTTCACGACCTGTGCAGCTTCAGTCCAGACAAAATCCCAGCCTGTAGGGAGTGGGGAGTAGGTATGAAACCCCACCACCAGCTGAGACTGTGGCTTCTGAAAGGAACTTGATCTACCCACACAGGGTACCACTATTTACAGTAAGATTTTAGAGAAACAGCTACACTGTTTTACAGCATGATTGTATGGTGTCACATGACCACTGGAAATATATGAATGACCCAGTTTTCCACATCCTCAGCAGCATATTCTCAGATCTGTAAAGGCACCTGAGGATCAGGGTACCTTTACCTGTCAGGGATATCTAAATTAGACATATATAAGTTAAATTTGGACATATAGTTTACCCAAACAGTTACAGCTTACCAATGTTAGTAGAGGCAAGAAGATTAGAAGGAATATGTAGTTTTTTAGCTGTGGTTCTAAGACAGAGAATATAATCCTAATCTGTAGAAGGCAGAACCAAGTTTTAACATTGTAAACAATTTAGTGTTTTACATCAATATCAAGGGGTTTACTCTTAAGTTAAAAAATCTGACTGCTGGGGGCTGGAGAGATGGCTCAGAGGTTAAGAGCACTGACTGCTTTTCCAGAGGTCCTGAGTTCAATTCCCAGCATCCACATAGTGGCTCACAACCATCTGTAATATCTGGTGCCCTCTTCTGGCCAGCAAACATACAGAAAGATAGAGCACTATACATAATAAATAATTAAATCTTTTAAAAAAATAAAAATAAAAAATCTGACTGCTAGCAACATGTGTTCTTGTACATGAATGTAGAGGTGAAGCCTTAATATCTCAGTAAATTTGCATAGTTATAAACCTTGTTTTTTATGAACAGGACAGGAATTATACAGAAATACATTGTAAGTCAAAGCATATGGGAGAGGAATATTTCCTTGGTGGGACCAGCGCATGTGGGTAGCCTTAATAAGGATGGGACTGAGGTTTTGAACTTAACCAAAATGGTGGTTATCTATGCGTTTGTACTTTTTCAGAGCAGTTGTAATCTGGAGTTACAAGTTTTACAGATTTTAAAACATGCGCACAAACGCACACAGGCACAAAGCAAGCATACTGTGACCACATTATTTACATGTATTTATTAAGAGATGAACAAAATTTTTCCAGGAAACTGTGTCAGCTGACCAACTTTAAAATCCTGGAGTAGGTTGCAGGAGCCAGGCAAGCACACAGGTGGTCCCGTTGAGGGCTAGATCAGCAGATGCTATAAGGGAGAACAGAAACCCAACATAGGACAGAACACCTATGCAAGTCAGAGTAGTAGGGCAGGGGGAACAGATCCGTGGCAGGGAGAATACCAGCATGACCAGATCACATGCCAGGAATGAGAGACAGGAGTGCAGAGATGCAGACAAACAGCAAGAGAAGTGTGTGTGTGTGTGTGTGTGTGTGTGTGTGTGTGTGTGCGCGCGCGCGCGTGTGTGCGTGCGTGCGTGCATATGCAGTGGCCAGTGTCTCCAGCAGCATGGTCAGGGCAGAACTTTCAGGATTCCGATTCCCAGATAGGCGAGAATCTGCAGGTGCCATGCCCCTGGTAACTAAGACAAGTGCGGTGAGACACTGACCACTGAGGGAAGGAAGGGTGGGATTGCAGTAACCAGAAACCATGGGCATATGGGAGTTCTGTCCACTGGTCCTCATGCCGGCAAAAATTTTTAGGCATTTAGGACATTGGTGTCAGCCAGCCCCAATTTAAAAAGACTTGTAAAAGGCAGTCCAATGGTGTTTGGGGATCAGGCTTTGAATTGCAGGTGCCCATTTCGCAAGTCTATGCCGGGACCCAAAGCCGAGTGCAGTGCATCCACTCTGGTAAGCGTTGGATCAAAAATAGGGGGTGTAGGAAATTCCCTTGAACAGAACATCTTCTGAAAAAGGGGTCCCACAGGGCAAAGCAGGTTCTTGTCCCGGTAACAGGTTGGGAGCCTGGCACGGCCATGTCTTCGGCAGGATACCCTGAGAATCGCAAGAGGCCCTGGGCCTCTAAGGTAGTGACTTGGAAACGACAGCTTACCCAGTTGAAAGCTGATCTTAGCTGGCTGAGAGCAGGAGCAGGGGAGAAGGGTGTTTCCCACCACGAGGCCCCGGGCAGTGAGAAAAACAGCCCTTTGGTGGAACCTCCAGATGCAAAGTTTCTGCACCCCATAACCCTTTCCACTGACACAATAATCCAAATCAGACCAAATCAAAACGAATTAGAAAAAGCCCAGGTTTAATAGATAGCATGCTCCCGGATGGCTTTCTAGTCCTCCAGAGAGGAGAAGGGAAAGAAAGACTAGAAAACCACATGTTTGTTCTGTGGGGAGCAGTTTAAAAACCCTGTGAGAATGGTCATCTTTTGGGAGGGGTCATCATTTGATGGGCTTTCTTGGGTGGAGCCTGGTCTGAGGCAATTGGAGGGGGAGGCTCGGGGTAGAGCTTCCATCTGAACATTCCAGACTCTTTGGATATATGGATGCTAGGGGCTGGGATGAAGCTTCCATCCAAACAGACCCTATGCCTAAAGGCTTTTTGGAGGGTAATTACAGTTTTCACACTCCTAGAACTTGGAGCATCACCTCCAGCATCACTAGCAGAGCTGGCATCATGCCTCATCCTTTTGGGGATAATTTGCTTAGCCATCTTGACAGAGTACAAAGGGAGGACCCCTGGCTGCATTTGTTATAAGACCCAACCTGTGTAATATACATATATTGTGGTATCCATATGGTTGTGCTCTCTTTTCAAATGGAGTTACAAACTCTCAGTTACAATTGACAGTGGGCATTAGTAATCTTTAGTCAGCTTATATGCTCTAATTAGGAACCTTCCTCCAGTGATGGTTATTTTTCTACAAAAACTGTCATAGATAACATTTGTAAATATCTGAATGGTAATGTCATAAAACATTTATAGTATTTCTTTCATTGTATCATTTTTGAAATTATGGTTAGTCAGTATATTTTTAATTGAAATGGTATCTCAGTATTCTATTTGATCATATTTTGAAGTGTTTAAGATATATAGTTTAATATATATTTTCCTCCTCCTCCAGTCATGATAAAAAGATATCAAGCATTATTTACATACAGTTAATTCAGTATGACTTTTATTTTGTTACCTTTTATATTTAACACATAAAAATTTTCTTATTTTTTCTTTTTGTCCTCGAAATTCCACTGTGTGTGATACTGTTTTGGCTGATAACACCTTTATCAGGTATGGGCTCAGCAATTGTATTGCACTTCATGGATGTGCTGTTAAACTTCCTGAGGGGAAGCCTTTCATCTTGACTCCTCTGTTTTTATTAGATCAGTGTTATGAGTGTCCGATGAGTGTTATCAGGTTTTAATAGTTAGAAAGATCTTTGAATGTAAAAGAAGTTTGTCAAAATTTTTTTTACCTGTGTTTTGAAGTGAAACTTGGAATGCTTCCATCAAAAAATTTAGTTCTGTATCTCTGGCTTTCTGCATTATTGATTTGTGTGTAATTCTCTGCTTTTCCTGTTTGCATTTGTTTGTATACATATCAGTTATTCTTCATGCATGTTATGTTTAAAGGTGGAAACATACTTAGTACTGAGTCCATTCCTAACTCTGATTTGTCTCCTACCCAGGTTTTTATCAAGCTGTGTTCTGTGAAATACACTGATCCAGCATACTTGGGTGGCTGAGAAAGTTTTATCAAGTCAGTTTAGTGCAGCACATTGGTTAGAGGTTATCCAGACACGTGGGCATGTAAAGGCTCCGGTTTTTACAGTAAACAGATTGTCCATGTTTATCTTGGCACCCTCCATAAACGCTTGAGTGTAAAACGCTGTAATGTGTAGGGTTGTGCTGGGCATGCTGATCTGGAAAATGTAACGAAAATTATGAATAAGGTTTTCTTAAAAGCTTTTTAAAACTTCAAATAAAATTGACTGCATCTGACTAACTTTTCAAAAATTAAAGCATTTTGATAACTGATGATTATATTTTCTTACAGAAATTATATTTTTAAGTAGAGTGTTGATTTTTTTTCACCTGAGAAAGTACCTTTCAGTACTGTGGAGTCTTTAAAGAGAATCTGTAAGACTATAAAGATTGTGCTTTTTTTGTTGGAAAGGATTTCTTTGTTTTTTATGCTAAACTATGTTTCTTCCATATATAGTTAAAAAGTATGTTTACTATTTCAGAGAGCATGACACCGGAAAGGAGGCCTCCCAAACTTGCCTTTATGTCAAGAGGTGTTGGTGACAAAGGTTCAACTAGTCATAATAAACCAAAGGTTACAGGTATGGAGCCCATTCTTGGTAGTTTACAATATGATAATATGATTCTCCAAGATGTTAAATAAGCTATATGTTATTGTTTGTGTGTGTGTATATGTATATATATGTATACATATAATTTGTTCCTACACTTTATGTAAACTAAAATTTTATGTACATGATTTTAAGTGAGGATGTAATAAAGAAACCAACAAAATGGCCAGCCTATGAGCTGTGGAGGGAGCTTTTTATTTGGATAAGAGAGAGAACAGCTGGCGGGGTTACACGCCTTCAATCCCAGCTCTCAGGAGGCAAAGGCAGGTGATCTCTGTGTTTGAGGCCAGCCTGGTTGACAGAGCAAGTTCCAGTGAAAAACACTAGAGGGGAAGGGAGAGAGAAGTAGGAAGGGAGCTTCAAATACACACCAGAAAAAGTTTCGGCCTGTGTTCTGCTTGTTCTGCTGAGCTTTGTCTAAATGAACCTTTAGGAGCTGACTGCCATGCATTCACACGGAGTATCCACAGTTTCACTTGGGAAGAACAAGTCCCCAAGGATGGTGTCATGTACAGCTGCCAGGGTGCAGCTTTTGGTGCTTTTGCTTATTTTTTTGTACAGCTTTTCTGAGTTGGCTTGGGCAGAATCTTCTTTGAGCAGTGAAGACTGCATGCTTGCCACTAAACTTTTTCTCTAATTCATGAACCATCCGGACTTGGATTTTCTGGAAAGATTTCTTCTGAGAAACTGGTGCTAAAATAAGGATTGCTTTCTGACCATCACCAGCTTCAGTTTCCTTGGCTGTGGTGGGTGATACTGAGTTTCCAAGCTGTGCCTTGAGATCTGAGTTCATCTCCAGCTCAAGCAGTGCATGAGAGATGCTAGACTCGAAGTCATGTCTTCTTGTCGTCATCACGCTTCCTAGTCTTGGTGCTTGAGGTGATCCTGACCTTCTCCTGAAAGGAGGAAAGTACCCCTGGTCATATGGGTCGTGGGCTGCATTGTCAGGCCATTGACAGGCACAGGCCGAATATTCCACCACATCCCTAATGAGGGCACAGAGCCTCGGAGGTCCATCCTCCTAAACTACAAAGAACAAGAAATTGTGTTAATAAAATTCTAAGATGTTTATATTGTAAATCTAAAAAAATATATTATTTCTTTTGTAATGTTGGGGATCAAAGTCAACAGAACCTTATAAGCTAGGTAAGTACTTTTTTACTCAGGTATTGTTCCAGACACTGAGATTACTTTTTTATTTTTATATTTTGGTGTTTGCATCAAATCTGGCATCTTACACAAACTAATATAGGACTCTAATCCTGAGCCATATATCCACCCAAAACCTGAATGTTTTTTAACTTAATTTGTTCATCAGCTTGTATGATCACATTTGAAGTTTATGAAGGGAAATTATAATGATGAGCCACTTATTAATGGGATGAGTTCTGAGAAGTGCATCATTCGGCAGTTTTTTTCTTGTGTGACTTTTTTTACGTGACCTCTTGTTTTTTCCCAGCTGCTCAGCACCAAAATAATCACACAGAAACCATATTATTTGCAATACTGTTTGGCCAATAGCTTAAGCATATTTCTGGCTAACTCATCTAAAATTAATCCATCTCCATTAATCTGTGTATTGCTACTAGGCTGTGGCTGACCAGGTAAAGTTCTGGCATCTCCTGTGGGGCTATATGGCTTCTCACTGACTCTGCCCTTCTTCCTCCCAGCATTCAGTTTTCCCCACCTAGCTCTGTTCTACTCTATCAGGCCAAGCCTATTTCTTTATTAACCAATGGTATTCACAGCATGCAGAGGGGAATCCCACATCATGTGACCATTATAGAATGCACTTCACAAACCTTGGTGAAAGAACTTTGTGTATGTCTAGGCTCTTTAACACTGCTGGATGTTCTTTTGTTGACTGCAAAGGGGTTTCATCCTGTGGATCGTGACCCCTTTGGGGTTTGAATGACCCTTTTATTGGGATCGTTTAAGACCATTGGAAAAGAAAGATATTTATATTGCAATTCATAACAGTGGTAAAATTGCAGTTATAAAGTAACAACGAAAATAATTTTCTGGTTGGGGTTTGCCACTGTTTGAGGTATATATAAAGGATGGCAGAATTAGGAAGGTGGAAAACCACTGTTATATGGTATGAATGGTAGAGGTGAAATTCGTGAGCCAGTAATTTCATCAAAGTAGAGGTGACAGGAGGTCGGAAGAGCGAGTGGAAAGATTTCGGGGAAGAAAGTGCACGGGAGAGGGGCGGACGTGTGCAAGTGCACAGGCGCGAGTGTGGGGCAGGCTGTGAGCGGAATCTCAGCGAGCCTCAGTCTCTGCTGCATCCCCTTGCCTACCGCCATGGCTGCCTACAAGCCGGTCCTCATCCGGCATGGCGAGAGCGCCTGGAACCTGGAGAACCGCTTCAGAGGCTGGTTCGATGCCGACCTGAGCCCGGCGGGCCACGAGGAGGCGAAGCGCGGCGTACAGGCGTTGCGAGATGCTGGCTATGAATTCGACATCTGCTTCACCTCTGTGCAGAAGAGAGCAATCCGGACCCTCTGGACAGTCCTAGATGCTATTGACCAGATGTGGCTGCCAGTGGTCAGGACCTGGCGCCTCAATGAGCGACACTATGGGGGGCTGACTGGTCTCAATAAAGCAGAAACTGCTGCTAAGCATGGTGAGGCACAGGTAAAGATCTGGAGGCGATCTTACGATGTCCCACCACCGCCAATGGAGCCTGACCATCCCTTCTACAGCAACATCAGTAAGGATCGCAGGTACGCAGACCTTACTGAGGACCAGCTACCGTCCTGTGAGAGCCTGAAGGACACTATTGCCAGAGCACTGCCCTTCTGGAATGAAGAGATTGTCCCCCAGATCAAAGAGGGGAAGAGAGTCCTGATTGCAGCCCATGGCAACAGCCTTCGGGGGATCGTCAAGCATCTGGAGGGTCTCTCAGAAGAGGCCATCATGGAGCTGAACCTGCCAACTGGCATTCCCATTGTCTATGAATTGGACAAGAACTTGAAGCCCGTTAAACCCATGCAGTTCCTGGGAGATGAAGAGATCGTGCGGAAAGCCATGGAAGCTGTGGCCGCGCAGGGCAAGGCCAAGAAGTGAAGGCGCACAGACAGACTTCTGCCCCGAGACCCTCCTTCCTGCCTGTCTGCCTCCTGCGCCCTTCCTAGCACCCGTCACTGACTCCATGTTTAGGATCTTAAGTTTAAGTTGTAGCTGCAGATGGGGACCAGTGGCTCCCATTTTGTTTTAGTATTTTATCCCCTGCACCCACTCCCTTCATAGAATCTAGTCAGAGTAACACCTCTAGGGTGCAGGTACTTGGTCCACATCCAGGGACGGCTCCCTCCCAGGAGAATTGAGAGGTAGTAATTACAGTTTTCTTAGTCCTTTGTTTACAAGGGTCTGCTTTAGGAGGTCAGGGAGGAACCATGCCGTGGCCTGACCAGTGAGAAGCCTGTCCTGCACTCTTCTGCAGTTAGGTAACTGGGGGCTTTAGTCATTCCAGTGGAAGGTGAAAGTAGCCTGCATTTAAAAGATGAACTACCTTCCTCTCTGACCCTAAAGGAGCTGCTGGCCCCCGAAGGTTGGGATCAGTCCTGTCAAGTCTATGTGTTACATTTACTTTTACAAAAACAGAAGTACATACATATTTATCAGTACACAAAAATCCCTCTGAGGTTTCTAGTGGTGATTGAAATAGTCTATGTGGTCACCAGAAAATAAGCCATTCCTCATATCAAGTGGGATAAACTCCTTGTCCTCAAGGGACAGGAGTGTCTCTTACTGTGTGTTAGGACCCCTCTGCCTTGTCTTGTAGAGGTGAAGTGCCCCTTGATCATGTCCAAGGTTTTGTCTTTCGCTGTCTGAATCATGTTCCAGCTGCTTGACCCTACCATGTGGGTCCAGAAATTGTTTTGGGCATACTAAATCTTCTTTTCCAGATCAGTATAATAAAGGAGTGATGTGCAATAAAAAAAAAATAAAAAAAAAGAAAAAAAAAGTAGAGGTGACATTGAAAAATAGACTACATGGAATGATTTTTTTTTTTTTGGTCCAGATTTCTTTAGATAGTCTGTAGTGTCCTGGAACTTGCTCAATAGACCAGGATGGCCTCAAACTCAGATGTGCCTGCCTCTACTAAGTGCTGGGATTAAAGGCTCGTGTCACCACTGACCACCAGAATGGTTTCTTAGAGCTTTAATATAAACGGCTAACTTTTATATTAATTTTATTACTCCTACTCTCTTCTGTGTTGACTAATTACCAAACTTTTAAAGCCGAAGACAATACAATACTATGTATATGTATATTAGTTGTGTGAGCAGTTGTTCTACCATACGCATGTTAATTTATTTATAAAATTTCTTTTTATAACATATTGGCTTTTTAAAAAAGGAACTTTTCTTGTTCCATAGGATCTACCTCAGACCCTGGAAGTAGAACCAGTTCTGAATTATTTTATACCTTAAGTGGGTCATCTGTTGACTCACAACAACAATCCAAATCCAAAAATTCATTGTATATTGATGAAGGTAATCTATAATTTTAGTCCTCTTTATAATGGTACCCTCTGTTTAATATGTAAGGGGAAATGGCTTTTTCATCAATATTTGTTAATTTTGGAAACAGTGAATAGATCATAGCTAATATGACAATATTGCTGAACTAAAATATTAAACACAGTTTCAACTACACTGTTATTAGGGTTGAGGATACATTTGAAATATGTTAGCAGTCTGGGTTTTGTTTTGCTTTGTTTTTTTTACCCGAGACAGAGTTTCTCTGTATAGAAAGTCCTTGCTGTCCTAGAACCTGCATTATTGATTTGTGTGTAATTCTCTGCTTTTCCTGTTTGCATTTGTTTGTATACATATCTGTTATTCTTAATGCATGTTATGCTTAAAAGTGGAAACATACTAGTACTGAGTCCATTCCTAACTCTGATTTGTCTCCTACCCAAGATTTTATCAAGCTGTGTTCTGTGAAATACACTGATC